ATTTTTAAAAATTCAAGTTCTGAGTGAACCACTTTGCCTGCTCTCCCCCCACCCCCCTCCAACCCCTTCCTCCATGGCCCTGATGAATTGCTCAGTGGGGCTCCAGGGAGTGAGTTTGAGAAGCCACTTTGCACAGGAAAACTCAGCTTCCTGACCAACATTCAAAGCCACTTGTCCACTTTCTCTGCCTTCCCTTCTCACCACTCCCCCTCCCTCTTGTTTGCCTGCAGCTTCCAGAACGGGCTGTTCTCCCAGGCTGTTCCCTCTGCCTACAACTGCTGGCCACCCCCAAGTCGGCCAGAGGGGCCCCCTGAATTATTGCGCCCTTGGGTCAGGATCTACAGTAAGACCTCTAATGCAGGGATCAGGCGCCCCAATGTCCATTACCACTCCAGGCAATTAGAAGGCTTAGAAGTCTCAAATGTAGACAGACCCTCAAAGGCCCGGCTAAACACAGCTTTCTTGCAGTGCATCCAATGCTGCTTTCTGTGCGGCCTGCAGGGGGCGGTGTGGGCTTAGCCCTGCCCCAGGCTCTCCCATGCAGCTTTCAGCGGGCTCTAGACTTTCCCAGCCAGAAAACCTCTCCCCATGGACCCCAGCGAGGAGTTACAGGCAGGGTCCACCCTCCCTGCCTCAACGTCTCTTTGTCATCACCACCCTCACCTCTAACCCTGCATCCAGTTGCTTCCAAACGTCATCCTCCCTCTTTCCCACCAGCTTTCAGCAACAGCCTCCATCCCAGTCTGTGCCCAAAGCCCCTTTCCAGCAAAAGGCTCCTCCTTTAATAGCTTGGGCCCCCTCAGTGCTCATCTCTCCAAAATTCTAACCCCTAACAGCACCCTCAGTCCACTGGGCTCCACCCCCTCACTCACCCCAAAGTGATGACATTGCTGTTACCTTGGTAACAGATGCCTTGTGGGTGGGTGGGGGGAATGGACTAGAGAAAGAAAGCAGTGGCTTCGGGACACTGTCAGAGCCATGGGAGGTGGGTAGGGGGCAAACTGAGGCAGGGCCTGGGAGGGGCTGCCAGGGGCGCTAACTCGCCCCACCATGGCTGCAGTCAGCTCTATGTCCCCAGCCTCAAGGGAAAAAGAACAGAATAGAAGGGGACATCTTCCTGGAAAGAGAGATTTTCTTCATGGAGGAAAGGGAAATATCCCCAACCCCACCGGCCCCCTCCCACAGGAGCAGGTCTCCTGGGCTTGGCAGGGGCCAGGGAAGGGATTGCATATACTGGAGCCCAATTTGTTCCCCTCCAGGGAGCCTGGGGCACAGAGAGCAGGAACAGCTCACCCAGGGCGTATTAGGGACAATGCCACCAGCAGCGGGAGGGTGGCTCTATGCCAGCGTCCTGAGCTCCTGGGGGTGGTGGCAGCAGGGGGTGGAGGGGCCCTCCTCCAGCCCCTGGGGACCTGGCTGTCCCAGATGCCACAGACGGGAAGTGTGTCAGGCACTTGCGTAAGAGCCTTCTATATTTCCATAAAGTCGTAATTACTGAGGCCTGCCATGGGCCTTAGCTCATCACAGTGGTATCTGCCTCTGGGCCCCAGGGTGGGCTGGCCGGCAGGGGGAGGTGGGGGAGACTGGGCAAGGCCAGGCCACTCATGGTGTTCTCTGCATCCCCAGCCCCACCGGTCCCTCTTCCTCTCCCCAGCTAGGAGATGAGAACCCAGACTTGACCTCAACCATGATGGACTACTGTGGGGAGCGGCTACAGTGTTTGGACAGGGTCAAGCCTCGGCCTAATGAGAGGGCACAGTCCTCTCATGGCCACGTGCAAGTCCAGTGGTTCTCAACCTTGGCTGCACATTAGAATCACCTGGGAATCTTTTTAAAATCCTGATTTCTGGGCCTCATC